GTGGTTTATGCTTGGTATTAACTTTGGAAGTTCTCATTATTTCATTGTTTTTGAAATTTTAAGATGGGAGTTATATGTAAACATTTCAAGAATTATATCAAGAAATCAAATTATACTTTCCCATTATTTGAATACGCTGAACAAAGAATAATCTTAAGAAAAAACACAGATCTTAGCTTCTCTTTGTAACTGCTTATCTGCTAGAGGACGGAGCTTGCTCTGTTGATTTCCTTATACGTATTACCATCTAGACTCAGCCACGTGAGATTATTTTAAGAATTTTAAATGATGTTTTAAAAATAGTTTTATCTTTTTATTAGAACTTATATTCTTACCATCTAGACTCGGTGTTGTAAGATTATTTTAAGGATTGTAGATGAGGTATTTGAAAAATAGTTTTCTTTATTAGAAAGCAACCATTTTCTAATGAAGTTATTAGATTTTAAAAATTACTGCAATCTCGTACATTGCCGATGAGAATGTAAAATAGTACAGCCAACTCTGGAAAACAGTGTGACAGTTTCTTATGAAGTTAAATGTACACCTACCATGTGACGCAGCAGTTGAACTCCCAGGTGTTTATTCTAGAGATATGAACACTCATGTTCACACAAAAACCTGTACATGATTGTCCATATCAGGTTTATTTGTAATTGCCAAAAACTGGAAACAACCCAAATGGTCAACAGTAAAATGGATAAACTGTGATACATTCATTCTCTGGACCACTGATAGCAAAGAAAGGGAACAAACTTGATACGCCCAGCAACTGGGATGGTTCTTAAGGGCATTGTGCTGAGTGAAAAAGTAAATCTTAAAAGGTCACATACGGTGACCCACTTATATTACATCCTCACAGTGACAAAACTATTGTGACTGAGATCAGCGGTTGCCAGGGCTTAGGATTGGTGGGGAGGGTGTGGCTGTAAAGGGGTGGCATCAGGGAGATCTTTGTGCTAATGGAACAGTTCTGTATAATAACTGTGGTGATGGTGACTGTTACACAAATCTATACGTGTGATAAGGTGTCATAGAAACAAAGCACACACCGTGCAGATTAGAGACATGAAAACTGGTAAATCCAAATAAGGTCTGTAGTTTAATAGTGTTGTACCAATGTTGGTTTCCTGGTTTTGACGATGTACTGTGGCCATATAAGTTACCATTGGAGGAAGCATACATGGGAACTCTTTGTACAGTTTTTATAACTTCTTGTGACTCTTAAACTATTTCAAAATTAAAAGCTTAAAAACAAAACAAAGAACTTGAGGAAAGATAATAGAAATAGCAGCTGTGGCGACAGGTCCCCGTGATCAGGTACTGAGGCTGACCATCTTGCAGAGGGACTGGTGAGGGGTCAGCCTTGGCTCTGGAGCTTCATGGCTGCTGGTTGTGAATGAGGCTCAAACAGCTGACTGACTCCAGGAAAACAAGCTGAGTGGACTTCCAGTTAAGCATGGCCTATTGACCTCAAGTCTTTTTCTTCTCTTCCTTTTGAGAATACATTAAAATGATGGCAAAGGAACTTAAAGAAAACGCCTGTAAATCCATAGTGTAGAGACCTGAAAAAGGAAATATCAGTTGACAAAAGGCCTAAAGAAATTTGGGTTGTTAGAAATGGACGGAGGTGTGGTAAACTGCCTTAAGAGAACTGAAAGAAACTGCAGAGATGAGTACCAGTGAGAGCTGAGCCCTTCACCCCAGAGAACCCCCAAGGCTGGGGAACAGGCCCCACAGAAGGTAGAGATGGAGGGGACACGCAGGGCTAGAATAGGAGTTACACAGGTGGTTAAACTGCCAGGTCCCCTTTCCTGCCCCAGCCACCACTATTACAGCTGCTCCCTGGGCGTGGCAGCCTGGAGATTCAGTCTCAGGATGTGTTGAGTCAGAGGCACTCTTGACTTGGAGACACCAGCTGAGGTACTGGAATTCAGGAAAAATCAGCACAGGAAACCTGTGGGATTCCCAACCCCCTTCCAGACCTGGGAAAGCTGACCACCTGGTGATTGCCCCTTCCCCCGCCCAGTGATAGGAAATTAGAAACTTCTCTGGAGAGACCCAGTGGCCCCTGGTTACCGTCACTTGGCCAGTTTCTTTACAGCTGACTTGCTGTCCAGTCACTCTGAATGAAGCCTACTGGTCAGTAGCCACCCTGTATGCACGCGCACACACTTCCAGCCAACATTTTAGGGCTTTACTCCTAAATACAAACTGACAGTCAAGGATCACCAGACATTTGGGGAAAGCCTCCAACACAAAAGACAGTTGGATACCAAACAATGAGAAGAAATAACCAGACAGTATGGGGAACTGGCAGAAAATATCCCCCAAATTACAGTTTATTCAGATAAGAGATGATACTGCATCCGTAAAACAACAGGATGCTTTTAAAAATGAATAACCAAAAAAACCTGAAAGAGCCCAAATTAAAAATATGATATCAAAAGTTTGAAAAGCATCAGAGGAGTTAGAATGTACAGTTGAGGATATCTGTCAGAGACAGAACAAAAAGTGGAAAATCAGAGGAAAAGGGTAAGATGATTAGAGAATAAATCCAGGTCATATAAAATCCTCCTCAGAGTTCCAGAGAATGAAGAGGCAAGAATCAAAACAGGAACACTTTTCAGACCTGAAGGACATAATTTTCTCTATGGGTAGGGTCTGTTGAGTGCCCAGTGAAATAAATGAAAAAAGTACCCACACTGAGACAGACCACTGGGTAGTTTCAGAGCACAGGGATAAAGAGGAGGGTTCCAGAGATAAACAAGCCCCCTCCCACCACCTGCCCCCCACCAAAAAAAAAAAAGTCGTATACAAATGACAGCTGACTTCTCAATAGCAAAACTGGATATTGAAGACTGGAGCAATATCTTTAAAATCCTAAGGGAAAATCACTTTCAACCTGTAATACACAGCCCAGCGAAATACCAGTTAAATGTCAAAGTAAAGATAATTTCAGACGTGGGGACTCAAATTTACCTCCTGCGTCATTTCTTAGGTCACTCTTGGAGAATGATCTCCAGCAGATAGCAATAAATGAAGAAGGAGGGGGCTTCCCAGGTGGCGCAGTGGTTGAGAGTCCGCCTGCCGATGCAGGGGACACGGGTTCGTGCACCGGTCCGGGAGGATCCCACGTGCTGCGGAGCGGCTGGGCCCGTGAGCCATGGCTGCTGAGCCTGCGAGTCTAGAGCCTGTGCTCCGCAACGGGAGAGGCCACAACAGTGAGAGGCCCGCGTACCGCAAATAAAATAAAAATAAAAAAAATAAATGAAGAAGGAGGAAGATGTGGAATCCAGCTAATGAGACTGTCACACAGGGGACCAGAAAGGGACATGCAAGGGCAACAGTGTGGCAGGCACGGTCAGGCCAGACTGAGTAAGAGGACGGAGAGTCCTTGGAGGAAGTTCTGGGGGAAAAAATGGAATGGAAGATTAGCTGACAGCTTTGTACATTTGAAAAACAGTGATAGGCTCCTATGAGATCCGACGGAGCGTGTGGAAACATTTAAGGTAGATACATAGAAAAATCTAAGGCAGGGGTGGGAATGAGACAATTATTAATCCCAGGAGAAACAAAGAGTATATCAAGAAAGGAAGCATAATTCTTTTACATTCCTTGCATTGTAGTGACCAGTATTTACAAAGTCATAATAAACCTTGACTGTTGATTTACCAGGAAACTGTTATTTAATTATATAGGAGAGACTGAGAAAGGGAAAGTAGGGTTGTCTACCGTAGCAGAAATCCAGTACTTATTGTCCAAAATTGAGAAGCCAAGAATATTCATCAAAACTATGGCAGCAAATACAAAAGAGCACTTGCAAGCAAGCTGTTATGTGGGTGTAAGGCCAGGGGTGGGGAAGGGTTGGGGCAGGGGTTCTTTTTCACGATAAGCCTTTATACTGTCTAATAAAGTTATTATAGTCTTTTTCTACTAACTCATAATGGAGGACCTTTTTATCCCGAAGAGTAATGTGTCAAGTATCTGCCGCTTTGGATGTTGTATGGTTTTTTATTCTTTTTGTTGCTTGGTCCTCTACAAACAAGGTACACATTTTGGGAGAGGGGTAAAGGGATCTGGCTGGTCTATCTGGAATGATTCATATTGTGAACCTTATGGTTTGTAGGTGTGACAGATGTACTGTCACCGTGTGTTCTGGGTCACGAAGCCAGAGACCCACAGGAATGATTTCTTGTCTGTACTTCAGATTTAGGGTAGCATTTTAAATTTAGGCCAATGTTCTAAATAGTTGCCTGTTTTATACTTGTCACAGCACTTCTATGTTTATGACCTTCTAGTGATATAGAAATGACACTTTTAAAAATGAAAACCATGACATCTGCAGAGATAGAGCATCATGAAGTCCATAATGGGAAACCACGTCTCCCCCTCCACTGCCATGAGCACAGGACCTACCGCACACTCCATGAATAATGAATGAACTGATGGCTGGGAAAAAAAATGCCAGTGACCACCTAGAAAGAAAGTTCTAGGCTAGCCTATGTCTTAGGGCCGTCAGCAACACCCACCCCCATCCCTTCCCCAGTAATTAGGCAGAGCAAAAACAACATCTCTTGGAAATTCCCATTCTACTGATAGCCAAAACACTGCCCATATAATTAAGTTCCTATCATGCGCCCCTGTTTCTTAGCACTATCATGACAGCCATTAACTTACCTAAACCCAAAAGGGAGCATCAGCTTCTGGACTCATGGCCCCCACAGGGTGTACTTTGTAGAGATGGAATGTCTGCTACCTGCTTCATTTACAGTAAATTCTAGGCAGCTCCTGGGCAGGCAGGGAACTGCCAGGGTCACATGCACCTCACTACTCCATCAGTTAGGATGGAAGTGCTCTTCACCATTTTCAAATCATGACTTTGTGGACGGTACCATCAGGCACACGTGTGGATCCTAGGCTATGCAGTGACACCATCTAAAGATTGCTTGGTCTGCTGTTCGCTTATTTTATTAATTTATTTATTTTTGTTTGTTTGTCAGAATGTTATGGAACAGTTCAATCCTGGGCTACGAAATTTAATAAACCTAGGAAAAAATTACGAAAAAGCTGTTAATGGTAAGTCTGTTTTCTAAATTTATAAATATAGAATGCATATGAAAGCCATTCATTAAATATTTTACTTAATTATTTTTAAATGCTACTGAATTTTTAAAATATCTTTAAATTGGTAGAAACCATTTATAATTAATCTGTAGAACTTTGCAATGATAGGATATTAGTATACTTGAAATGAGTAAGTTGAATAATAGGCTACCAAAAGTGACATATCTTAAATATCAGATTTTGCTTTTTGACACTGCTTAATCTTTTATATCATTGACATAAACATGTTTTCTACTTTTTACACCAAATTCTTTGTAAACTAATAACATATATAAAAAGTGTACTTAAAATTTTAAGATCCTGAAGCATAGGAATTATTCTCCTTTCTATTTATGTAGAAGAATTTCTTGTCTTTGGGTGTATCACTTATGATAGTAATATGAGAAATAAAATGTTTAGCCTGAATGGAAAGACATCTAAATTAAAGGTTGAACTTAGATTCTCATTTCAAAATGAGTGCTTAATTTAAAATGAACTCAGGCATTGGCTTTTGTCTCTCTGTGAACCAGAGTTGTTTGCTGGTTTGAACAGATTTCATCTGAGGAAGCCAATGTGCATCTACACATGCATTCCCCTCGCAAAAGGGGAACGTTATCAGTGATCACCTTGATGTGGACCATTTTTTTAAAGTCTTTATTGAATTTGTTACTGTATTGCATCTGTTTTATGTTTTGGTTTTCTGGCCCCGAGGCATGTGGGATCTTAGCTCCCCAACCAGGGATCGAACCCATACCCCCTGCATTGGAAGGTGAAGTCTTAACCACTGGACCGTCAGGGAAGTCCCTTATCAGTGATCACCTTGAAAACTCAAGATGCTAACAATCACCAAATTCTAACATGGTCAGAACAATTCTCCATATGTAGCAAGTGTCACCCCCAAAATATTCAGACCCCAGTTTCACCACCTACCCTGGTTCACTAAGACCAGCACGTAACATAAGTAGAAAATTTAGTTTCCAGCGGTTTGAGATTTGAAGAAAGCTTCAGACCAAGCTTTGTGTCTTTTTTTCCCCTCTTCTTTCTCTCTTTCACGATACCCAACCTTTGGCTGCTCCCTGATGATGTTTTGAAAATAAACCTGCGCCCTCACACCCTCAGTAAGCCTGCTCCAGGAAAGGGGAGGTGCTGGCAAGACTCAGGACTTTGGATTACGGACGAACTATCGTTTCAGTCACTGCAAAAGTAAACTGCTTATTGACTTCCTTCTGGATCTCTGTGCTCTTGGCCAGACGTGTTCAGTGTCAGGAAATGCAGCAGGCCTGAGATTTCCCTCCCTCTCCCTCTAGCCGTACCAGTGACTTCTATGGGTGCCCCCTCCCTCCTTCAAAGAACTGGAGCCTTGTTTTGGAAGCTGACTCTCTCCTGATGATTACCTAGTCACAAGACCACAAAGTCATCGCTTTATCCATCCCCGGGAAGGAAATCACTCTGACCTGCAGTGATTTTTTTCTTTCTAGCACGAGCTGCCTCTCTGAGGCAGAGTTTTACAAGGTGACGCAGTGAAGAGCCCACAGCTTAGCCTCCTGCTAACAGGGCTTCTCCCCAGCAGCCTCTACCACTTTAACACGTCCTGGGGCCTATTCTGCGTTTCATAATGTGTTCCAGGATTTCTGCAGGCCATCTGTTTTTGGCTGAAGCCATTGAGAAACTTCAATAAAATGTGTAAAGTCGTTGGTAAGAATCTGTAGTATAGTCGAGGATGCCAGATGTGCATTCAACAGTTAGATTATAGCCCAGCGCAGCAGCACAGCTGATGAAGAGCATAGGCCGAGCAGCGGCACAGGAGTTTGAGAGGAGGCCGGTGGAGTATGGAGTAGGCAGAGGCCGTGTAGGAGCTGAGCCAGCTGACAGACATTAGGTTTCAGTAGGCAGACGCTGCTTACTAGTGCTTCAGGCAGAAAAGACAGCATCCAAGCCGATACCAGGGGTCCACGCTAGCATGGGTGAGAAGCTGTGAGGGAACAGTAGAACATAAGGTGGAATAAGGTCCTACTATGAATGCATTTGGATGCAGCATCTGTTACCTATTGCCGCATAACAAACTGCCTCTAAGCTTGGTGGCTTAAGACAACAATAGTTCATTATTTTCAGTCGTCCTGTAAAGGCTGTGCAGTTGTCTGTACCCCTGGGACTCTGCGGTTGCAGTGGACTGGGGCTGAGCTCACTTCCTCTCTCAGGCATAGCTGGCTGTCCCAAGAGTACAAGCCCCGTGGGAGTTATGCCTGCTGGTACCCCATTGGCCAAAGCAAGTCACATGACCAAACAGCCTGTCAGCATCCTAGACAATTATACCACCTGGGAATTCCGGGAGGTGTGATTCATTGAAGGCCATGACTGTAAAAATCTACGATGAACTCTGTGGAGTGTGACAGGCTTACCCTGTGGCCAGTGGGAGGCCATTGAAGGCTTTTGAGCAGAACTGTAACCTATTGAAATCATACTGATATTTTAAGGAAAGTTTTTCTGGTAGAAATGTGTAGTTTAGGTTGATGAAGTAGTTGATCAACCACTAAAAATTAATAAAGCTTCATTCCTTAAAACAGTAAGTGGTAGAAAATCTCTAATATATCCACAAAAGGGGACAGAATTATGAAAATATTAGTTTATTTTTCTGGATAAATTATAATTTTTAAGTTAATGCAGCTTTATCATAAAAGCAGGATATTTTACTAGACTAAGAAGGTTAAACAGTTTTAAACATAAGTCGGCAGTTAATGGAAAAATTTCAATGTGTGGATGCAAACCAAAAATTTTATGTAAGTGCTGTGTAGCCCTGTGTTACCATTCCCCCCCGTTAATTTGCTTTTTAGCTTATCAGCACCTTGCAATTTGAAATCTTCCCACTAAAATACTACATATATTAACTTGACAGTTTACTGGCTATAAACCTTGTTTTTCGGTGGAGTCATCTCTTTTTCAGTGCTAGCTGAGACCAAAGAGTCAAAAAGCACCATGATTTAGAACTGCCGGGGTTGTGTGCACTGCCTCTGCTTCGCCATTGACCTTGGGCATGTCCCAGAATATCTCTTCTGTGCTCCACTTCGTGAAACGGGGTGATAACATCATCACCCTATGTCTTAATGTAGTGTGGTAGATTAATTAATTTAAGTAATGATTTGGAAAGTTTACATAAATGCTATTTGTTACTGCTCTTTTTTATAATTACGCTTTACAGTTATCCTTAGTCTTATGAAACAATAGTATAGTAGAGCATTAGATTTCATGAACTTGTATATATATGTAGTAAAAGCTGTAAGTTTCCTAATTTTTTTAATTCTACAAGACTTGCAAAAATAGATTAATTTGCCTTGAAAATACTACTTTTTTTGGCCTGCAGTATCTTCAGCGGGACTTGGGCATTAATTCATTCTGTGACCTCCTCCCCCACCTTTTTAAAACTTGAAATACCTTTTAAAATTCATCTTTTAAAAACAATACCCATGGGCTTCCCTGGTGGTGCAGTGGTTGGGAGTCCGCCTGCCGATGCAGGGGACGCAGGTTCGTGCCCCGGTCCGGGAAGATCCCACATGCCGCGGAGCGGCTGGGCCCGTGAGCCGTGGCCGCTGAGCCTGCGCGTCCGGAGCTTGTGCTCCGCAGCGGGAGAGGCCATAACAGTGAGAGGTCCGCGTACTGCAAAAAAATAAAAATAAAAAAATAAAAATAAAAACAATACCCGTTATAAACTGGTGTGGCCTCAGGTTTTCCTCTCAGTGAGAGGAAAGGAGCCTGAGAGGGGTTGCTTAGGGCTCTTTTATCTCCCAAATCCTGTGGTCTCCAAAGCTACCGGGCAAAGTGATGTCTGTGTATGAAGCTGGCCTTTGAGCAAGATAAAATATTTTCTCCAAAGTCACACTAAGTAGGCTAGATCTTATTGAAAAGCTTGCTTGTTGTACACCTTCAGTCTCCTGAAACCCAGCCTGTGTAAAGTGACAGAAGGAGTGGGTATTATCAGCTTCCATTAGTTTGTCCAATACTCACACTGTTAGGGCATTTTATAGATTCAAACCGTTTGTTTCAAAAAGGATAACTAACTTGTCCAAGAAGGTCATGTTGTTGGAAGTAACAGTAGAATTCAAACCCAGATTTGTCTTGCTCCTGACTCCCACCTACAACCTCCCTGCACCCTCCAAAAAAGAAAAAGGAAAGGGGAAAAAAAAGGAAAAGAAAAACAAATCAGAAGCATATTTCTGTACCTTATAATGTAGTTTTCAGAATCAGTTTGAAAGGAGAAATGTGATTTTTAAGATAATTAGAATCCAGCTTGTATAGCAGTAAGAGTTTTCCTGTCTCTGCCAAAAAAGAGCAGAAAGAAAAGCAGAGCATTCAGTTATTTTTCAGGTAATTTCATTTTTTTTTTTGAAATGATAATGTATTTCAGATTTCATAGATTTCTCTCCTGGCAACAAGTATGGTAGTTGCTTGTGTCTCAGAATATCTTTTTCAATAGAAAAAGTAAAAATGCCGTAGAAGGCCCAGGCGCCTAGACAAGCCCACACCAGCCCCTCTAGCTAACAGTATTGCAGACCTGTATTGCTGTAGAATGACCAGCTTGCTGCAGTGGATGTGTTCCAGCCCCAATTCTGTGTTAGGAACATATCCCCTCTGGAGCTGGCCTGAGGAGCAGGCAGAACCTTCTCCGGACCCCCAGCCTCTGCCGCTGCTGAAGGTTCCCCAGGGCTGGTCGGAGGCGAGGATCCCGTGAGGGCTTTCCGGTGGGTGGGGGGCCTGCAGGAGTGCAGTGGAGGGACCTCTGCCCCTGGCACAGCTCACAAGCTCAAGCCCTGCCCCCTGAGAGCCACGCTTGCCTCAGCCGCGAGGGACTCCGGGGTGTTTGGAAGAAAACCTCTGTGTCGTTTCCTCCTTTCCATGTGTAAGTGATGATTGTGTGTGTCACCTTCCCTGTCTAGCTATGATTCTGGCGGGAAAAGCCTACTACGATGGAGTGGCCAAGATCGGTGAGATTGCCAGCGGGTCCCCTGTGTCGACAGAGCTGGGTGAGCTGACCGTCCGTTACATATACACCCAACTTGAGCGCGGTTCCGGAGCCTTTGTCGTGCGAGCCCTGATGAGAACATACAAAGTGGCCCGGATCCAGAATGGAAAAGAGGGCTAGCCCAGCACTCGGGTTTGTTCACCTCTGCGGTGATTGACTCCTCCGTGGTCTGTCCAAAGTGGAGGCTTAGTTAAGCGCAGGCCACTAGGAACTGGGCTTCTGCCTCTGAGGTTTGGGCCCTAGTTCCCTGCTGATCCCTGAAGCGTGAAGCCGGGGGAGCCTTGAGCCACATTTTTAACTGAAGGGGATGTGCACGCAGCCTCCGGCCTCTGGCAGAGCGTTTCCTGTGACTCACCTTGCAGAGAGTCCAGCCTCTTTACGTTCTGCTCTTGGCTGTCGCTGCTTCCACAGTTGCTCTCGGTTGTGATTTTTCCGGTTTTGCTGGTATGAATCGATCCCCTGTGCACACGTGGAGGGCGAGGGCAGCCGCACCCTCGGCAGCACCAAGGCTTCTATTTACAGAGCCGGTTCACTGTACCATCTCCGAAGCGGGGAAAGGTGGATTTTTTTTTTAATAGTCCCACACATAACCATCATTTTAATAACTTGTTAAATATGTTTTACTTGACAGAGGGTAACATTTCAGAGTTTAAAATGTTTGTCAGAATTTGAAAGGTTCAGAAAACCAGAGGAAAGGATTGGTAAAGTGTGTGTTTTAAAGAAATGTGTGTTCCTCTCCAATTAAAACGTGGAAAGGGAAGCAGAGGGGCAAAGGCGCATATGTTTAAGGTTCAAATAATTCACACCATTCGTATGTTAAGTGTCTTGAGGGTTTTCAGGATTGCTTGGAAAACTCCTAACTGACCCATAAAAGCCAAGGAACAAATTCAAGGTGTGATGATGGTTCTGGGGTTGGGGGCTGGGCTGCTGCATCTGCAGTGGATCTGGGCGCTCGTTAACATTCTCTGACAGCTTTTGTACCGGAAGAGTTCATAGTCTTGAAACCTGTAGGCAAAAGCTAAGCCTGAAGTGATGCTGGGTGATGAATAAGTCAGTACTGCGATACTGAATAGAATCAGTTACGAGTAGAAAATTTTCAAAGCGCTGACTTGTATTCTGTTGTTCTGGCAAGGTCTGAACTATAGTAACTCTGTCCAAAGTGGATCAGTTTAATAAAATACACACTGTGTTATGTAGACAGAAGCAGACAGTAAAATTTAGGACATTTGAGGGATGATTGGGGTGATTATAGGGTTCCAAAAATAGAACTAAATTAAAAAGAAACAGCCTATTTGTGTCAGGCATCAGGGGAAAAAAAAGTATGACCCTTATGTTAAAACATACGGCGCTTTGACTCACCGTCATTCAGTTTGCCTTTTTAATGTTTTATGATTCTTGCCACTGTTTAAATAAGACTTCTGTTCCACACCTTATTTGATTCAGCTGTGAGTTCATAATGTTGAATCAGCTGTTTCCACAGCAACCGTGTTGTTATAAACACGAGCTTAAAATTTCGGTTTCAATAAGGAAAATATGTTGCTATGGTGCAGTTTCTTTCATGTGTTTGTATTTCATTCAGAGGGAATGGAAATTACTTGCTGCCATTTTTGTTCCAAGTTGTCCTTTTGCTTATATTCACTCTATCATGTAGTTAATTTCCTACTCATTTGCAGCCATTCCATGATAAAGTGCAATCCTAGTAGGAGTTGCTTTTGGAGGCCTAACATTTACTTCTTTTGATTTGCTTAGTTTTTTATTTTGTTGTTAAAGTTTAGACTAAAATACTACCCTATATCTGTTTAAATACCTGTATGGAAGAGCACTGGACAATTCATAGAAAAAAGAGAGACCTAAAATTGATTGTACCTTTCTTGTTTTTCAAGAAGATTTTCTGATCTAGTTACTGACATTTTGGTATTGGCCTTCATACTTTATTATGAAACTTATGTTACAAATTCCATTTGTTAAAAACTGAAGGGGTATTACATATGTGAAGATTATGAATCATTTCAAAATTTTCATTCCTGAAGAGTATTATCTCTGAAAAGCCTTTCTTTTCCCACGCCCCACCCCCGCAAAAAAAAATCCTATAGTTATACAATTTTCCGTTTAAAATTTTTGCTTTGGGAGGAAAATACCCTCTGGCTAAAAATATTTACTTAATTCATAGAAATTTGTAGTGAGGATTCAACTTGGAAAACTTGGCCAAATACATTATTAATGTAAATCAGGGTGGCAAAGCTAAGCATTTCAGTCTCTTCTCATTTTAGAGGAAAGAAAAGGTGTGTGTGTGTGGGTGTTGATTAGCCTTTTACTTTTTGTCTTCTGGGTCAGCCTCTGTTAGTAGCACAGGGCTGCAGCAGTACCATTTCTGACTTCTAGCTATGGGTGTTTTCATTTTGATATCCCTCTTTCGGCATCAGCTCACCCAGTACTGTGTGAATCATTTAAGATGCTCTTGCCCACGAGTAACAAAATACCCAACTAACAGTAGTGTAAACAATAAGGATGTTTATTATCCCACATAAGAAGGCCAGGAACAGGGGGTTCTTGGTTAATCATTACTAAGGACTTTGGTTCTTTCTCTCTTTCTTTCTGTCCTAAAGCCCAGCTCCTCATGGTACCAGGGTGGCTGCCCTGCCATTGCTAGTCTCAGGCATCACACCCTCCCTCTTCCCACTATGTCCAGAAGCAGGAAGGAGCACGCTTTACAGAGGAGGAAACCTTTTCCCAGGAGCCCCAGCACACACCCTCTTGTTCTCTCTGGCCTGATTTGGATCACACGCCCATGACCCAGCAGCATTGTTCCCAGGCATGGTTGGCCAAGGGATACATCGAGGGGGAGAGGGCACAGCTGTTAGGAGGACACCCGATGGTGCCACCAGTCAGCCAGCTCTGGTTATCAGAGGTCTTGTTTCAATGCCTTTTAGTGAAAGGAAAGGACTTAACACGCGTTACTGCTTTAGCTGTGCTGTGAGCTGCAAAGTGCTGCTGCGTTTTGCTTGTGTCTCTGATTGGGATAGTGTTTTTCTCCCACATGGGTTGTGTGGTTTTACTATCGTGTGTGTACTTCACACTCTATTTATGATTGTTGTTTCTCCAGTAGACCACAGCCATCCTTCCCAGTCTATTCCTATTTGGAAAGTGGGACTCCCAAGCACAGAAGATGAATTAGGGATGTGGGGTAGTTTTTGTTTTTCTGTCCTTTTGCTTTTCTTCTCAAGCTTTTGGGTATCTTTTCATCACAAACTCTTGGGGCATCTTCCCTGCCTCCGCTTCTCTCTCCTTTCTTTCCTCCTCTCATCTTCCTCTCTGCTGACGTACCTGCACGGTCTCACAGCCTCTTTCATCACTGCCATATTTCTTTCCAGGCTTTTCTTCCGGTGAGTTTGTGCCTAAGAGCCAACATTGAGTGCTTGCTCTCCTCGGGCGCAGGACCCAGTGCCTGACAGGGCCTTTAGTTCAGCGTCTCATTTAGTCCTCAGAGCCGTCCTGCACAGATCTGGGTGCAGGCGCTTCCACTGTCTCCGTTTTCCACGTAAGACCCAGAGGTGAAGTGTGTGCCTGGGTCACACAGTTAGCAGGTGGTCCGACTTGAGAATCTGAGCTCTTCACCTCTGCACTTACTGCACTTCACTGAGGCGAAGGGAAAGGAAAGAGGCAGCCAATCACGGGTTGCTGAAGAGGAAGAAAACAGGAAGCCCACGACGGGGACCTTTTCAAGAAGGAGATGAGAGGGAATCCTTGGTGTCAGAGCAGCCGAAGACTGGGGAGGGGCTGGCAGGTGTGGTGATTGGAGCTCACTGGCCCCCTCAGAAATGGTGGCTTCACTAGGGTCCTGACCATAAACACCAGGTGTTACAGGGTTGAGGAAGATGGAACTAACAGAAGTTTTACTTACATGTGTATGCCTTCTTACACGTATTGCTTGACTTTTGTACAGCTGTGCTTCACATAGAAACTCAGGTCTCACTAAGTGCGTGCTGTGTGCCGGGTCCTTCGTGTGTTGCCTCATCTCATCCTCAGGAGCCTCGTGGATAGATGTTTCCTCTGAGGTCTGCAGAGTGGATGCTCACCCCGCGTTTCCCTGGGGAGGCTGGTAGACCATAGGGTAAACTTGGCAGTCACAGCCTTCTGCATGGTGGTGAGATAACCTCCATGGGCAACCACATTGGGTCCTGTGTCCTTAGCCATGTGCTCTGCAGCCAAGCAAGGCAGAGCAAGGGCTGTGGGGGTCATGACCTCTGCGAGAGGATGGTAGGCGGCATTGGTGCTGCTTGGGAACGATCCTGTGACCCAGGACAGGGAGGCCAGGCCAGGTCTTATTTTCCCCTGAGACTGCCCAACACCTGAGAGATGCTCAGTAAAGCTTGTGTTGTTACAGTGCCGCTGTCAACTTACACCACCCTGGGCAACACGTCACCTTATGAGTGGTTGGCAGGACTAAGGGAGAGGACAGCAACACGTTCTGGGTTGTTTGAAGATGAAATGAGATAATGTGCCTTGTGTTTTCTAAAGTTTCACAGACCAGAAAGATGCCTCTCTGTTGCCGCTTCATATGTTCACAAGTATTTGAGAATTCAAAAATCAGTACCAATTTTTTTTCATTGACATTATTCTCTTCCATAAAGTAGGTGATACGTTTGTAAGAATATACATTTTTGCTTGATTATTCAAGAACAAATTATTTCAGTTCTTTCCATTGTATCTTCATTTTCTATTTCATTAATGTCTACTCTTACCCTTGTTTTCTTCCTTGTACTATCTTTGGGATTATTCTGCTGTTCTTTTTCTAATTTCTGAAATGATACATTTAACTCATTAATTTTAAATACAGGTAGGCCCACAAAGATGACCATACAAGTTAAAACCATGCAAAGCCATCTTAATAATCAATGGGGAAAATTATGATTGTCCTGTGACCTTTAAAAATGTTTGCCAGAAACATTAAAAACTCTCTCACTTTCAGTTATAAATGTGTAAGGAAATGGAAAAAATAAA